CACCGAGTGGGCACGCAGGCTGACAGTGATGTCCGCCCCTTCAACTACTGCCATTCAGTCTGTGAACACCCACCAAGCTGTAACCTTAAGACATGTGCCCTTCTCCGTATGTAAACAATACTTCAGTTAAAACCAAAACATTAAAACCAGAAATCCACGAAATTAGAGTTAGATTGCTGACTATGAGAGTGTCTCTATGACTTTTAGTGAGCCCAAACTGTGCCTCTACCCGGTGAACCAAGGCGGGGGCAAGGGGCTCTCAAACTCTCCCTGAGACTCTCGCCTTGTGATCAAATTCATTCTTTGGTGAATTCGTTGTTTTAAATGTCAAGTTAAAAAATTGCATAAGATGGCCTCTGATCAAAACCTGAGAAGTGAAGAAATATGGGAAAACCCCCCCTCCCAATGATTGCCAAATCACAGCATCTTACTTCATAGTGAGCCCAAGATCCATCAGCAAATATTCATAGAACACCCACTGTGTGCAAATATCACGATGAATGTGTAGAGGAAATATGGCCCATACCACAGAAGCCTCTACTCTTTAGTTGTACAGACAGGACACGTACAAATGACAAGGCAAAAACCCCACAGGTAGCATGTGACACCAAATACTGATGTGATTCTAGGCATGCTGTGTGCTGAAGGGAGGCTTTCTAGCCCAACATGCCGGAGCTTACTCACAAACCGAATATACATGCAGGAAAATTGAAGTGCCTGTGTGAAACTTAGGTTGGACTTCTAGAAAAATAAAAATGGGCGACATTCTGGAGTGTCATTTAGCAATACTTAGCTCTGAACCTTTTTGACATAGTCATAAAATGATGGCAACTGACGTTGAGTAGCAGAGGTAGAAAGCAGAGTATTCTAAAAAAAATCTAAAATAAAATTATATTTCTGTTAGGTATACATCCAATATGTGTGTGGATGTGGCTTAAAAATAACCATGTGATTGAATGCTGCATTCGTTTTTGAGAATTCTGTACATTTTAATTTTTAATATTATTATTATTATTTCAATATATGAAGTTTATTGTCAAATTGGTTTCCATACAACACCCAGTGCTCATCCCAAAAGGTGCCCTCCTCAATACCCATCACCCACCCTCCCCTCCCTCCCACCCCCATCAACCCTCAGTGTGTTCTCAGTTTTTAAGAGTCTCTTATGCTTTGGCTCTCTCTCCCACTCTAACCTCTTTTTTTTTTCCTTCCCCTCCCCCATGGGTTTCTGTTAAGTTTCTTAGGATCCACTTAAGAGTGAAACCATATGGTATCTGTCTTTCTCTGTATGGCTTATTTCACTTAGCATAACACTCTCCAGTTCCATCCATGTTGCTACAAAGAGCCATATTTCATTCCTTCTCATGGCCACGTAGTACTCCATTGTGTATATAAACCACAATTTCTTTATCCATTCATCAGTTGATGGACATTTAGGCTCTTTCCATAATTTGGCTATTGTTGAGAGTGCTGCTATAAACATTGGGGTACAAGTGCCCCTATGCATCAGTATTTATTACTTTTTTAATGTTTTTTTTTATTTTTGAGACAAAGAGAGACAGAGCATGACTGGGGGAGGGGCAGAGAGAGAGGGAAACACAGAATCCGAAGCAGGCTCCAGGCCCTGAGCTGTCAGCACAGAGCCTGACGTGGGGCTCGAACTCACAGACCGTGAGATCATGACCTGAACCAAAGTCAGACGCCTAACCGACTGAGCCACCCAGGCGCCCCGTGAGAATTCTGTACATTTTTAAAGAGTTTAATGAGCCATTTGAAAATCCCAGGACTCCAAAATTGCAAGAAAACCTTTTCTAACTAACTATGAAAGAATCGTAAAACCTACATAGGGAAAATTATATACAATTGGGAAATTTAAATTTTGATATTTAGTAAGGAGATATCACGCATTTAAGCATTCTTGGATATATAAATAAAACACCGTAAGAGTGCATTTTCTTCCACAGAATTACAATTTTTATAAAATTCCAACCAAAAATGTCAATCGATCTATAAAGTATTTGGAAAATTAATACATAAGAACATAAATGGACACTTTGAAAGTAAAAGGGAGAACCTAAGGTTTTTTGAGCCTTACTTAAATCAGAATAGAGTAGAATAAACAGAAACAAAGAAAGCTGTATAGATTCAAATTGTTCAGCATTTTCTCAACTCCAAAAAAAAAAAAAAAAAAAAAAAAAGGATGCTACCAAACAGAAAAATAAAATCATGGGCTTTCAGAAACCCTCTTGGTTATACACATATTTTTTTAGTGCTAAATAAAATATGTTTTCCCTGCATGAGAGAAAAACTGAGAACAAACTGAGGGTTGACGGGAGGGGGGGGCAGGGGGGGAGGGGAAAGTGGGTGATGGGCATCTAGGAGGGCACCTGTTGGGATGAGCACTGGGTGTTGTATGGAAACCAATTTGACAATAAATTTCATATTAAAAAACAAACAAACATATTATGAAATTTTACTGAATATGATAAATATACTACGGGGAAAAATAAATAGAAAATATATGAAATAAGAGAGAAAAAAAAAAGAGAATGGCGTCTAAAACGACATCCAAGCCAGTTTCACTGATGAGGAAGGAAAGCAGATATGAGCAGTCACTAAGGTTCTCGTCTTCAAACCTTTCATCTCACATCTATGAATGTTATGAGTATATATACAAGGAGAGAAAGAGAAAGAGAGAGATGTACTATATACTGTATATATACACATATAGGATATATCCATATGCATACATACTGTATATATGTATACTATATATATATATGTATATACTATATGAAAGGTTTATAAAAATCTTAGGCAAACCATGATCATGACAATAGCAATTACATCTGGGTTTTAGATACTAAGTAAATTTTGATTCACTTGATAGAATTCTCTCTTACTTTCCAAACTTCCTAAAAATTACAAATTATTTACGGAAAAATTTTAATCAGTGTATCATTTGTGGATGCCATCAAATCACATATTTGTAAAAATGTGCACATGGGAGGAAATTTTAAAATATAATAGAGGGTATTTTGAGAAAGTGGGACTCCGGAAGTTAATTAATTTCTTACTCAACGTCCTTTCTTCTTAAATCTGCTGTAATGAGCCCGTATCCTCTCTGCAATGGTAAAGTTAAGGCTTATTTGTAAGATGAATGTGCAGAGGCTGGGGAGTAGTAGCACAGAGGCTGAAGATGATTGAGGCATTCTGACCCTACTAGATATTAAAGCTCATTATGTTACAAAATACTTAAAATATTTTATTTAATACAGATAAACAGAATAATAAATCAATGAAAAAACAGTCTCAAAATAGATTCATGAGAGACTTAATATTAACACAGTAAGCTTTCCAATGCAAACAAGTTGAAAATAAGCATCCCATGAAATTAGCTATATTTAATAGCAGTTTGGTAAGAAAACATAAAAGAAGAAGGGAAGATAAAACTGGTGCGATGTGATCCACCAAATAAACGCCACAAGGATTAAGGAGTTAAGTACCAAACTAAAACACTAAGTTATGAAAAAGTCAAAGTAGCAGATTATAGACTAGGCTGTGTAAGAGATTACAAATACATATATTTTCAGCTTTGATATAGTAGAGAAAATCAAAAAGAAAAGTTTATCACATTAAATACACAGATGTAAAATCTCTGCAGGAATTTTAAAAAGCAAAATATGAAAACAGTTACACCCAAATTTTGTTAAACAGTATGTCTAACATAGAGCTTATTCAAAATCACAAAAATATTAGGATAAATGAGGGAAGCCAGAAATAAAAATTAGCAGGTGATAAAATTAGAAGTTACCCAAATATGCAGAAACAAATTCATCCTTCTCTTAGAGCAAGCAACAGATTACATTTGAGATACTGTTTGACAACTACTAAACTAGCCAGAATAAATTTTAATAAAATGCTGTAAGAATGTGGAGACCTTGTGCACTGCATTTCTGACTGTACACATTTATAACTCACTTTGAAAGCAACATGGCAGTAATAAATGTTCATCCTCTTTAGTTCTGATATTTCATCTATGGAATTTATATGGAACACATAAAATTCCTCGGAAATAAGAGATCTGCGCACCAACTTTGGAAATGATCATGTGACATAACTGTATGATAACGAACTAACGTGGATGTGTGAGAAGTACTTAGAAAGAAGGAAAATGCTTATTGTATAACGATAAGTGAACGCAAAAATATGCTGTAGTATATATATGGTGTGTTTTTTCAATTGTGTACAAAGTACAGATGATAAAATGCAAAGTATGAAAACAATTCACCTGCTCAAGTATAGTAAAAATATGAGTGTTTCGTAGTCTATATTTGCTTAAAGTCAATTGTGTCTAACAGACACAAAGCGATACTAAAGGTAATTGACACAAAGCATTTATAAAAATCATGGTTTTGCAAAACAGGAAAGACTTTTTTCCATGAATAAGGCAGTCAGTGAAAAATACGTTTACAGTCAGAGCATCGTGTGTGTGTGTGTGTGTGTGTGTGTGTGTGTGTGTGTGTGTGTAAAACAAAGTCTGTTTTAAACCTAGAGCAATAAACACAATGAATCGCGGCCGCACACCTGCTCCCGGCGTGATCCCAGGGCGCGCAGCGCACCCTCAGAGAAGGTGTATCTTTACCTGACCCTCCGGGACTCAGGTGGATACAGCGCGCGGCGCTCTTCTCCTCGAGTGACGGACAGGGCTTCTGACGCAGGTGTGTCCCATCCGAGGAAGACCCTGTGCCCCCTCCCCTCCTCTGTGGTTAAGGCAGGGCCCAGCCCTCCAAGTCCGCTCGTCGGGGACAGACACCTGCCGGCGCGCCGGCTGTGCCACAAAAGCCACACGTGCTGTAGAGGCCACGTGCACAGCCTCCGGGCACCGCTCAGCGCTCGTGGAGGGGAGGGGGTCCCCAACCCGGAGGCCGGGGTCCACACCCGCACACCCGCGGACTCCGGCATCCCGTCTGCTAAGTGCTTCCGCGCCCCAAACGTACCTGTGTCTTCGGGACCCAGAGCGGCGCGCTTCCTTCTGCCGCTCTGGCTGGAGTTGCTCTCTCCCGCCGGGGCTGGTGCAAAGATCCCCTGGGGAGACAGAAACCCCAAGTTACAGCCCGGTGTCGCAGGGGCGCGGGGGTGGCGGGGGGCGGGGGACGGGCTGCGGCGGCTGCACTCACTTTCAGCGCGCTAGGGACCGCGGGGGCCAGGCGCGCGCCGGACGCCCCGGGGGTTGCGGCCCCCGCCCTGGGAGGGCCCGGCTCAGCCCGAAGCTCGCGGGGCTCCCGGAGCCCCCGCAGCTCCGCCCGCAGGCTCCCCAGCTCGGCTTGCAAGACGGCCACCCTGCACAGGGACACCACCGACAGGCAGCAGGACGTGAGCGCCAGCAGCAGGGTCACGGCCAGCAGCGCTGCGTCTTTGGGGCGCGAGCCGGGAGGCTCCTTCACTTTCATTTCTTCTCCCCTCTCCGGGCGAGGACGAAGGCGTGACCGCTCGCCTTCCGCGCAGCCCTCCATGGCACTCGGGGGACTTGGAAGGTCCGGGCCTTTCGAGAAAGTGGCCGCAGGGAAGGGATCATTTCCTGTGAGCGGTGCTTGCTGAGGTCCCACACCGACTACATGGCCTGGCTGTGCCGTGGCCCCCGGGAGAGCTCCCCGGGGTCTCCCCGCGTCTGCCCAGCTGCATCCCGGCCCCCAGTGGGTGATAGGTCTTCCTGGCACCGGCCCTTCCATCCGATTGCCCAATCATTTCCTCATTTCACTTTCAGTATCTGTAAGAATTCTAATGGCATCTCCACACACACACACACACACACACACACACACACACACACACGGGCCCCTGGCATCTCCCCGCCAGGCGGGACTCAGGGTTTGGACCGGCCCACCCGGGACGTGTGGAGCCCTGCGGTACTACAGGAGCTCCCTGCGGTGTGGCCCGAGCTGGGCCACTGGGGGCCACTCTGCGAGGGCAGGGGAGAAAGAACGAGGTTCCTGCTGGTGTAACACAAAGAATTAATGAGCAGGTCAGATAAGCCAAGTGCTTAGTACTGAAGTGCACTCCGCTGCAGAGTGATTCATGAACGGTCTCTAAGTGGGAAAGAAAACCAGATGTCCTCAGAGGCCGCAGGGACGTCCACTGGGGAATATTCTCTTTATTACCGTTGGAGCATTGCCTAAGAAGAATGGGGCTACACATTGGAGATGTCTTTACATTGGATGCGAGGGGGTCTTTACATGCAGGGGATGCTGCAACCAACCCCAGGAGCGCTCCCCGCAGCTCCCGGCCGGCTCAGCCCCACGCTGGCCAGGAGAAGTGGTTTCGACTCCAGCTCCAACGCTTCGGTCCAGACCCAGCATGAACTGCCCTTTCCCTAAAGCAGCTTCTCTACTGGGCCCTATTAGGTTGACTGCCAGAATCGAATGCCTATGTGAACAGCCCAGCTCGGCTCACTTCACTTTCAAATCTCTATTGGTGGACCCAGAGTTACTGCAGAGACGCTGGTCCTGCCTGGTCTCCATGGCCAGCTCCTGGACATTTCCCGGTTTCTGGCTCTTTGCCTTCGGCACCGGCAGGTTGTGTAAGGAGCTCACACTTGGACAAATGTTACCGACCACTTGCCAAATTCTGGCTACATGACTCCCCCGTGTGCTAGGGCTACTGAGCAGTAGCCTCGTCCCACCTCACTGCCAGCTTCAGAAAGAAAGTGACTGAGATAGTGTAAGTGAGGACAAGGGTTCCCAGCCAGGGTATGAGTCCTGGCTCCACCCGTCACTCTCCTGGGGCCTCTGGGATTCAGTTCCCTCATGGGTGAAATGGGATGGTGACTGTCCCCGGGAATTCTAACCAGGTGTATACGAATATGGAACAAACTATATTCGCGATGCTCCCACTTTTCATCCATTTTCCTTCGTTACATGAAATACTTTTCTTTATTACACACAGCACTAGCACACACACCTTTGTACGTGTCTCCTTGTAACACCTGCCGGGGTTTCCCAAACAACTGCTGGAGAACGGGCACATCTTCACCTTCATCGGGAATCACGGAGCTGCCCGTGGATGAGTTCCCACTTCCTCACTGTGTCACTAGGCATCATGTCATGAGACATTTGTTTTTACCTGTTAGGACTATGTTATCTTTTCCCTTTGTGTCTGCGAGTTCTGAGACCTTTTTAAAATGACTTGTCTGTCTCTCTCTCTCAAAAATAAACATGTAAAAAAATTAAAATGACTTGTAAAGAACATTAAAAAAAACTCTAAGATGATCTTTTAATGATTACCTTGGTCCCCCAAGTCAGCTGTTGTCTAATCTCTGGCCTGGAAGGACATCATTTGTGAGTGTGTGCGCACACTCCTTCACGTCAGACATTGTGTAATTCAAGTCTTCTGCCACAGCCCTTGTTTTCAGGCCAATCAGGCTGACACACACTACATAAAGTTGAAAGAAAGAAAGAAAGAAAGAAAGAAAGAAAGAAAGAAAGAAAGAAAGAAAGAAAGAAAGAGAGAAAGAAAGAAAGAAAGAAAAGGAAGGAAAGAAAGAGACAGAGAAAGAAAAGAGAAGAAAAAAGAACAGAAAAAAAGAAAAAAGAATTAGTTTGGGGATTATATGAAACCCTTCTGACTAACAGTAAGTACAACCCACTCAGGTTATATGTGTGCGTGTTAATATTACCTAAATTCATACAGAACTACAAGAATTCAAGGCAGTGCCTGAAACTGATGACTCTCTTCTTTTACTCAGGATGCTTGGCCACTGCGGCTTCTTTCTGGAAATCAAATTTCTTCCGCTTCTCATGGGAGATTCTGCTCTCCAGATGCTGCTGTAAAAATTCCAAAGAGAGGGAATAATTTGATTGTGTTAGAGAATTAACTCTGTTTTTGTTGCTCTTGTGGGCAGAGGCCTTCATGCCCAACTGACTGGAGAGAGCGCCACCGACCAGCTCAGGGGCAGGTAGTGTCTCCTCTTGGATCAAGCAGTGGGCACCCTAAGCACAGAAAGGGAGGGCTGGGGCTTCTTCCCTGGAAGGCAGAGGGCAGCAGCTTCCCTCCACCCAGATATGAGGGTAGCGGTCACTGCCATGTGCAGTCCTCCACAGCGATCACACGATCGAATTTCTCTGAAGGCAGGTAGAAACTACGTGGCGTTCGTGTGCTCCTGGATTTCTTATTAGAGGAACAAAAGGAAGTTATCACTCCATAAATCAAAGATCTGTTTCCTGTCAAGGAAATGTCTTGACAATAATTTAACTGAAATTCTGTTATGCAAATTGCATGCCATTCGTTGAACAACAGGCCCCACCACAAGGATATTCAGTGAAGGAAGCTGGCATACCTGAGACAAGGAACACTAGAATGTTCTCTGTCCGGACTTAGCCACTTTTTACCCACTTCTTTTTCTCACCTGAAATGTAAAACATTCCCCCGGAACAGCTATGCCAGATGTAATAAGCAAATACATGTTCCTTGTCCTGTCCGCTCAGAATTGCCTACATGGGAATATGGAACAGTATATTTGAAAAGAATTTAATTTTTTTTTTATTTTTTTTTATTAAAAAAAATTTTTTTTTTCAACGTTTATTTATTTTTGGGACAGAGAGAGACAGAGCATGAACGGGCGAGGGGCAGAGAGAGAGGGAGACACAGAATCGGAAACAGGCTCCAGGCTCCGAGCCATCAGCCCAGAGCCTGATGCGGGGCTCGAACTCATGGACCGCGAGATCGTGACCTGGCTGAAGTTGGACGCTTAACCGACTGCGCCACCCAGGCGCCCCAAAAAAGAATTTAATTTTTGAGTTTATCCAGGCGTATGACCCAGAGAATAAAGCAAACAGAAACTCTGGCTGCTTGCTTCTTAACCGACAACCTCAAAATATCCACAGAGTTTATTTAGAACCTTCTAACTTGATAGTATTATGACGAATTAGCTTCTCTTATACACCTTCTATGAGGACAAAAAAGTGTCCTTCCTGAAGAACTGGACCATTCTAGCATGTAGACAACAACTCTTCTAGACATGTGGATAGACCTAACAATAGATCTCAGTAAAACTGGCTTCCGAAAGTGCTCAAAATACGGCAAATAGTAGGATACAAATAATTATTACATTTGAGAAACAATCGCATTGTTTTCTGTTGGAAATATATACGCAGTCCGTGAAACTTGATTTGGAAGGCTAAATGCTAATCACTCGGTAATTTAACCATGAACTGATGAGATGTTATCGGAAATACACACCTCTAGTCATTTCACATATGAAAAATGATGTTGGCAATGATGATTTCTATTTCTCAACAGTTTTACTAAAAAGAGGAATGTGCATTTACTGGAGTTTAGTTTGTATAACTGGTGGGAAAAACATCCACTTTTGTAAGAATTCAGTTTCATTTGTCAATGTCCTTAATTCGTTGTGGGACCGCTTTCAGATGTAACACTCTTGAGTAACGGTGGTTAAGTGTGAGCTTTTAGAAAATTTGTTTACCTCAATGCTACTTTCAATTACAGAGGTTTAGTTTGCAGTCTTTACGTTTATAATACCCACACAAATAAAATTTTACTTAGTATTAAAATGGATATATATCAATCGAGGCCATCATCTGCCTCCTTCATAGGTAGATGAATTTTTCTATTTCACATATACAGACACAGAATACACACTGACACATCGGGACACCTGAATAAAACCTGGTCCGATTGAACCACCTCAAAGACATTGGGCGAAATGATAGAGCAATTCTACCCAGGCAAGAACTAGAACTCTCTGCCTCTAAAAATTGAGGCAGAGCTTGCAAGCATTTAAGATAAGTTCTTTGTTATTTTGCTCCGTCAATGTTGGAAGAAAAATGATAGGGGCCAAGGGCACAGGCTGAGTCAGACACGTCTGTGCGCCCCGGGCTGCTTCACCATCTGGACAGACACTTCCCTGCCCTGAATCTACAAAGTGATTTTGTTTAGATGTCTGTCTTGGTGGGATGCTGCCCAATCGGATGCTTAAATCCTAATCATTGAAAACGCTGCCCTGGTGACTCCATGCACGTCGTCCCTGTTTGCTAAGTGTGGACAGACTAGCGAGGTTTCTAACAACCATGTGTAAGGGGCTCATGAGAAGGAGTTCATCATGCTTAAAGAGAAACAAAGGAAACACTTGCTCCATCACATGTCTGTATATGACAATCTAGAACCCAGCCAGCAGTGTGCCAGGCTTCCAGGCTGAGGGCACAGGGTCCAGGAAGAGATCTGGGTCTCTAATGGCACTACCTGCTGCTGAATTAATCAACTCGTCATGCTCCCTGTTCGGGGATTTCGCATATTAAGTACTACATTTTCCTGATTCTTTAAGCCAATTTGCTACATGATTAGACGTTGATGCACCCAGAGATGTCCCAACTAGCTCTGCTAGCTAGAGGATGTTTATAGTCCTGCAATTAGACTTTCTGTACTGAACAGTTTTGAACATGCTTTCAGAATTTTTCCACGTGTCCACATTTTTAGAACTATAATGTAAAGACAGAAAAGGTCAGCACCCGCAGCTGGGAAAAACAGACTCATTCACTAAGAGTCTTCTTTCTGATTTCACTTATTTTTTGACAATTTCAGTTATTTCATTGTGTTGGGACACAAGAAACAAACACCTTTGGAAATGCTACTATGTGTAATGGATCTGTCTTTTCTGTGTGGAACTAGAAGAAACCCAGTCACCTCTTTCTGAAAGGAAACTATGAAATCAGAATCGTGAGTCTCTGTATGGGGAGGGAGCCCCCTCCAACACACACACACACACACACACACACACACACACACACACGCACACACACGCACACACACAAGCAAAGGGGAGCCCAGGGTGTTTGGGGGCAGTGTGAACCATCTCTCTGTCCTTCTTACCAGCTCCCGATTATCTGTCTTTCCCTAGCCAAACTGCACGACAGC